ACTAAACAGCTTACCTGGTTTCCAGGTTTGACCAGGCGTAGGGCAGCTTCAGCACAGAGGTGAGCTGCCTTAATGACATCTGCTTTCCTCCCTGTTACTTGGGTTCCCTGTAGATAAGGAAACACAATTAGTACCTTCCTGGAAAGTTCTCAGTTGGTTATTCAGTTAGTATCTGTGTGTCCATTATGCAAGGCCAGCCAATGAGAAGGAGAGAAAACACTCCCTTTTCCTTTTATTTCTCTATAGACTCTTGAAGCTTACATGGTGGTAGAGGGTGGGGATAAGAATCAAGAAGTCATACACCCCCCACTCCCCCCAGGCTGAACAGAGTTCAGAGCAGACCACCTACCTGAGCTACATCAACCACAAAAGTGTGAGCCACATTAGCGATGAAGCCATCCACATGGACCCCAAGGTCACTGAAAAGCAAAAGCAGAGTACAGCCTTAGCAACTGGGACTATGTAAATGCTTAGGAAAAAGACAAGTGCTCTAAAATTCTTTAAACTTACATTTTTACCAAGTCACCTTCCTTGAGAATATAGTCCTGGTCGCTCTTCAAAGGGGAGAAGTGACATACACAGTTATTTACTGAAATACTGGTGGGAAAGGCAATACCTGTAAAGAGAGAATCATCAGCCTTACTACCTTGCTATTTTAGACCCCTGATGCCTCTCAGAAAAATGGAAGATCTTCTTTAGGGTCTTGCCTAAGTTTAATCAGTTTGGATCGGGTAGGAAGCTGCTTATAACCCACTTGCCATTCCAAATTTCCAAATATCTCAACCAGAGGTGGGGTGAGAGTTATATCATTATGACAAACAAATGGGCCTAATAAGGGTCAAACTTGGGGAATTAGCAGGGGATTGATATTTTACCTTTCTTCATTTCTTTTTCTTTCTTGAAAATTTTCCCTGTCTCTTCCATAATCATGGCATCTCCTTTCTCACACAGGCTCAGTACCGACACACCTGAGCAGGATGCTTCCACCAAAGACCGAAGTACCCCTGGGGACAGAATCCCACCATGTCAGTCCCACATGTGTTGTCTAAGTTACAATCCAAGCAATACCTAGAAGTTGGATCCAGAGTTTCTAATATTCCCAAGAGACATTGCCCTAAGGCTGAAAGATGGAACATGTTTTGCCTTTTGGAATGTACCTAGCTTTAATATCTAAATTTCTACCTTCCCCCTTCCTTATATAATGTGACATCTGGGTATATACAATCTATCTAAAGATGATACCTGTGGTGTGGTAGGCCAGAATTATGAACTTCAAGGGGATTCTTACCAAGGTATACCATATACATGCAAAGCAGACTAGAAATTTATAGGAGTCAGGAACAACAGAAAAGTAGGCACAGAATTGCTGACTCAAAGCTGATGCATTGTGAAATGCTACCTTCTCCCTTCTCAGACACCCAATTAGGTGTTAGTAATTTGATTTATGTAGGCTTATTTCCACATAAACAAGTGTATAAGCCAAGGGTACTTAATCTAAGGTCCCCGGGCTTCAGCAGGTTCATGGCTTATAGTTTTTGGCAGACTGCAAAGTGGTATGTGACTCAAAATATGTGACCTAAAATAGTTTCAAACTGGTAACCGTGATCACTAATATTACGTGCAATAGTGTACCAAAAATGGGGTACTATAGTAAATGTCCATTATGTTATAGAGCATCTCCATGGCACATCCAGAAATTCAGGTTTGATTTTTGTGATCTAAATTTTGGTGATTATTTGAAGCCTGAAACTCAGGTTTTCAGACATAGGACCACAGGCACCCTAAATAACTACCTATACTGTCAAAACCACTTAAAAGCGCAAAGACAAGCACTTTCTGTCCCCTCAGACAGAAAAGTGAATTGTAAATAGAGAAAATTTAAAGTGAGACATCTGCCTATAGTGGCAACTGGCTGCTGACAAAGTCAGAGCAGTCCTAATAAGGATGACTTCTGAGATCCTAAAATCTGTACCCCCCTTTTCCAGTACCATTCACGAGTTTGCCTGGCTGGGGTGAGGACCTCAAAAACACTGGTAGAGTTGTCAAACCCCCTGAGAACAATCAAAGTTGAAGACTAACTAAGGCTATCTGCACAGATTGAAGGCAGTAATGAGTAACTTCAAGAAAAAACAGATATATCTCCAAGAGGATGTGAGGAGCTCCAGGGGTGCCTTCCAACGGTCCCTGGGCTGGCCCAAGAGTAGAAGGGGGCCCCCACAAGGGAAAGAGTTGAAGTAAAGAACGAAAGACTTCAGCAAAGCACGTGGTAAGGAAGCTAGTGTCAGGGACGGCAGCGGAGGAAGGCGCCCGGCGACCCGCACAGGGACCCGGCAACACGTGCCGGCTTGGCTCCGGACGCCGGGGTACCGCGACAAAATAGAGAGGCTCTCCGTAGCCAACAGCTGGGCGCTTCCTTTCCGAGGTGGCCTCGCCGCTGCCAGAATGAAAGGTGGCAGGGATCCGGGTGAGCAGGAGATGCGCCTTGCCTCCTTAGCAACGGCCTAGGGTCCGCGCCGGCCAGGGAACCTACTCTGAGCTCTTCCTCGTCGCCGGCCCGCACCTCCAGACTGCAACCCAGGCCCGGACGCTCAGGTCCCAGGCGCGACACGGAGTCTTCCCACCACGCCACCCACAGCGGACCAGCGCGGGGCCCTCAGCTCGCCCCGCAGGACCCCACCGCCCCAGGCCCTCCGGGGCGAGCCCTGTGCCGTCCCCTTTCCCTCTCGCAGTCCAGATCCCCGTACCCCCGAGGCCGTACTCACGGTTGGCGATGTCGCCCCCCATCTTATACTTGGTCACGACCAGGTCCTCGGCGATAGTTTGCTCCTGCTGCTCGTCCTCGCCCGACATCTTCCCGCCGCCACCACCACTGCAGCCTCGTCCCCTTGAGCCGCCACCTGGGTCTCCCTCCCTAGCCACAGGCTGTGGCCAGAGCCCCTCCGATTCGCGAGGAGAGCGCGAGCAAAAGCTCGAGCAAGCAAGGGAGCGGGCGGGCGAGAGCGAGAAGCTGCGAGCGCGCGGGCTGAGGCGCAGGGCACGCTGGGACAACGAGTGCTTTCCGCAGCCAACTTCTAGCCTTCCTCCCGGACTCTTGAACTATAACTCCCAGCCTGCCTTTCGCCCCTCTACGCCAGGCCCTGGGGCCTTGCCCTCCGTGGGCCTCGCACGCTGGAATCGCCGGGCACGCTGGGAAGGGTCAAAGCTCCGGCGGGAAGGCGGAGCCGTTGGGGAGCTTAAGAAGCGTGGTCTGTCTCTCCCCGAAAATCCGTACCTACCAGGAGCCTTGAGCTGGAACCTTTAATGGAGTGGGGCGGACTGAGAGAGAAGGGGAGGAGCTACGGCGGGGAAATGGGTTTGGAGGCGGAGAGGCAGGGTGGAGCGCAGACAACTGGGGTGAGTACCCTAAGGGCGGAGAGGCAGGGTGCGCCCTTCCCCGGATACCTGGAGCGGCTGGCGAGACCGGCCCGGCCGGTGCAGTCGTCCGCCGATGCTGGGAGGACCGGGAGGGGCAGAACGGGTGTGGAAGGAGACTCAGGAGTAGGGATTAACTGGGCCAGCGGACCCAAAGGTGGTATCCCTTTGGCCTCCCAGTCTAGAGGCTGGACTCCCACGGAAGATGGAACTATTGTTCCCTGCGATAGGGTTTGATGGCACTTAAGCGAAGTTTTCAAGGAGACTTTTTTTAAGAGAGTAAGTTCTGAAACAGGGAATTTCAGTATTTCACGTCTTGAAGGAGCACATCTATAGGGCTTTTTCTAACTTCCCCAACTTTTTATTTTTTTATTTCTATTGACTTCAGAGAAAGGAAGGGAGAGGGAGAGAAAGACAGAAACATCAGCGATGAGAGAG